TAAAAAAATTAAAATAAAATAAAATGAAATAATATGAAGTAAAAATAAAATAAATAAAATAAATTAATTAATGCAATATAAAATAAAATAATATAAAAAGATAAAATAAAAAAATAGTAAAATAAAATAAATAAATCAAAAAAAAAATGAAATATTATAAAATAAAATAAAATTACGTAAAACAAACTGAACTAAATTAAAATTAAATTGAATAAAATAACATAAAATAAAATGAAAGTATTTAATAAAATGTAAAATAAAATAATATAAAAAGATAAAATAAATAAAAAATAAAAAAAAAATAAATAAAGTAAATTAGAATAAAATAAAATAATAACATTTTTAGAAAATAATATAAATTAAAAAAATTAAATTAATGTAAATTAAATATAATAAAGTAATAAAAATGAAAATATAATAAAATAAAGTTAAATTAAATTAAATGAAATAAAATAAACTGAAATGAAACATAATAAATAAAATAAAATAAAATGCAATTTAATATATAAAATAAAATAAAAGTAAATGTTATAAAAGTAGAAATTTTTGAGGCTACAAATCATCGAAAAATCAGTTGCTGACTACTACTCTTCCTACTTGCTAACATTATATACGTACAAATCTACGTATAGTCACACTACTTTTGTTGTTTATTTACCGTGACTACATTTGCGGCATACGCTTTTAGACTTCTTTTATCGTAAACTGCTTTCTGTCATTTCACTTTCCTCCAAAAGAGAATTATAAAAAAAATCAAATGGTTGAAATTGTCTAAGACGAAAATAAAAACCCGTTTTTTTTTTCAAACAAGACTGCAACCTCGCTGTGTTTGCCAAACGTGGTTAGCACATGCATACATATATTTGGTTGCAAGAAATTAAAAATAAAAATAAAATCACTAAAAAGCCGAAAAAACGCACATTACTTGCTAAGCTGTGTTTGTTAAGTCATTCGTTAACAAAGTTTATGTAATACGAGCACAATTTGGATACATATAAAAACTGTTCATACGTATATATATTTGTAAATTTCTGTGTAATTCTGTATTTGTTTCTAATTTTTTTAATTTTTTTAATTTTTACTTTTTGTGTTAAACGCTCTTTTTTGACCAAGTTGTGCGATAATTGAAGCATAAAATTGAAAAGTAAAAAAGAGTGAGAGTGTGCGAAATGTTATGTTCCCAGACATGAATAGGGATTTGATGTTAGTAGCGATTTTTAAATTATTTCAATTTCTATTTTTTTTTGATTTGGTTCTCCTTTTTTGCTATTGGCAATTGCTATTGCTATTTAATGTAATTAGGTAACGTCATGTTGATGACAGCGCGATTGATATCAGGCGTAAATACACAGAAAGCGAACTCGAAAAAAAATTAAGAAATACAATTTTTATTTTAAAATGTAGCTTTATTTAAAATCAAAACTTTTTAATTAATGAAAAATATGAAGTATTTGAGAAATGATATGATATAAAAAAAGTCATTAAAACTTTTGAGTCATACATACAAAGATTATTTAACTAAATTTTTTTTAACAATTTAATATTGAATTTTTTATTTTTAACCATTTATTATTTATCATTTATTTTTAGTTATTTATTATTTATTATTTATTAATTATCATTTATTATCTATTATTTATTATTTATTATTTATTATTTATTATTTATTATTTATTATTTATTATTTATTATTTACTATTTATTATTTATTATTTATTATTTATTATTTATTATTTTTATTATATTTATTTATTTTTATTTTATTTATTATTTATTGATTATTATTTTTATTTAATATTTATTATTCGTTATTTAATATTTAATTTTTATTATATATCTTTTTTTTCTTAATTAAGCACAGACAGGTTTAGTTTAGCTTAGCACACAACAAATAATTACTCAGGAACTATCGCTAAGTAATAAATAATAATAATAATAAAATTTTTTAGTTTTATTTACTTTTGTTAATAATTTTAATTTTGGAGCAATTCAGTTAACGAATAAATTATAGGCAAACTAATAAAATTTTATTATTGTAAATTAAATCTTTTTTATGTCGATCAAAAAACACATAATTCAAATTTCGCTCAATTCTTATAATTTTATAAATTTGAAAAATTGGTTAATTAATTTTAATTTTAACTTAATTTTATATTTTAAAGATCATATTAATTGTTTTAACAATTTTATATGTTTATTCAAATATTAACTTATGTTTCAATTATTTTAAATTTAGTGAAAAATTTAAATTTTTAATTTTTCAAATTATTAGCTATAAACATCAAATATAGTTAATTTCGTTTGACTTTCTTTATATTATAGCAGCAAATTGTATCTTCACTTTGTCAACGAAAAATTTTAAACCGTCGGTCTGAAGTGGTATTTCTACTGAATTTGGGTGCAACGAAAGTAGAATATTACAAATAAAATAAAATAATAAATGTACAAAGCAATCAATTATATAATCAGTCTAGACTTTGATGTTTGCATTTGACGTGTGGTAGGCAAGCATTTTTCAAACAAAAAAACAAACTTTAGGAAGGTTGGAAAAGATAAAAAATAAATAAAAAACAAAAAAAAAAAAAAACAGAGAAAGGATCTTAAATCTTAAATCGCCAATTGTCTACATTATAATTGGCAGAGGAAAGTCATTTGGGCGAAAATTTAAAATTTTATTTAAAATTTTTCATTTTATTTTTATATTTAAAGTTTTATCTTTGAGACTTTCTTTATTTGAATGAATTTTTTTTAAGTAATTAGGATTTTCTATGATAACCTGAATCAATTTAAAGTGTGTTAAAAAGATCAAATAAAGGTGGTGGGAATTTCAATTAATTTAGCAAAATTTTTCGCACTAATCTGTTAATACTTTAAAATTTATTTCGTTGCTGTGAAATTCAACACAACTTCAAACACTTTAAATGCTAATGTCAGTGCTATCTACCTGTTCAGTGTAACATAGAATGCTGCCATTAAGATTAATGCATTAATTTTATTAGTTAAACTAATTGCCGGTGCTTACAAATTTATTATCATAAGCAATATGAATATTTTATTGTTTCTGGAAAATTGGTTCCGACTTTAAGTGTCGATTATCTCAAAACACATTTAAATGTAATAACAATTACAGTTAAACTGACTAAGCACTGGTTGCATGTGGCAGGTAATTTAAAAATATTTAGTTGAATTTAAAAATGTGATTTACCCACTGTGCCATCAACTGATATAAACATTCTGAGCCAATCTACTATAACGGATAATATTGGCCTTAAAACGAAAACCAAATTACATCACTCAATACAATATAAACATAAATTAATTCTAATTGATTGTTGTTGTTGCTAATTACGAGTTTATAGTTGACGAAATAAAGGGTGGTTTTTTAAGAGCTATTGGAAAGTTTAAAAAACACATAAAATTCAGAAAAATGCATGAAATCTTTATTTGAATCGATAGTACGATTCGTATAATTTAGTGTTTGAAATCGAAAAGTTTGTTTATTTACGCTCGCATTAAGCCAAAATTTTTTTTATTTTTTTTTTTACTTTTTATTTTTTTTTATTTTCTATTTTTTATTTTTTATGTACTAGAATAGATCCAATAAAAAACTTATTATTTGGAATTATATGATGTTTGGTAAGGGTTTTTTTGTGATTCTTTGCAATACCAAGAAGAACAAGAATTCTACAAGACACAAAAAGCCTTAACAGCATGTGGACGGGTCTGCTAGTATATAGTATATACATATATATGCATGACTCAATATTTTTTTGTTTTAATATCTATTTTCTCTGAGTTTCCTGAAATCAAACTTTTAAATCACTTCATTTCATTTGTTTGGCGCTGAAGACTTCATAAGCCTTACTGAAGAATGGAAAGAAATGAGTCGCAAATTCTTCAGCACACAAACATATTTTAAAGGCAAAATAAATTCAAAAAATGTTTTTGAATGTTAGAATTTATAAAAACGACCTATTTCGATAGCTTTCTAAGTCCGTAAGGAGAAATAAATATTTATATGGGATTTTTAAAATCAAATGAGACGCATAATACTGATCATGCACTACACAGAGCCGATTCCACTTTACCTAGCTTATGGAAATGATATTTCAAAATTTATTCACGGACTTTGAAGCTACCTTGGTTATTAGTAGATTCACAAAAGAAACTTACTCCTGTGTTTTTTTTTCATATTTCCATCCATCAGTATAGATATATATGGACCCGCCTTACGTACATTCTTTGATACTGGGGAAGGAGTAGGTGGCCTCTAAATGGATTTCGATTTCATTTAGATAGCGCATTTAGACTAGTGCTGCCTCATTTATCACTTGTATCTCAATTTGCCTAATATCAAGGATGGCTTGTGGGGCCTTTGTACTCTTTATGGGGTCAGCTATACTAATTTGATATGTCAGTTGCAACAGTTTCTAGAGACACTTTTCTTTAATGTAGTTCACCACAATATATGGAACACTATTTATATTAGTATGGTTCCAATGACACTTAGGTAAAGCCTATGCCCGACATGTGCTTTTCTGCTGGTAATTCGAATTCGTAGTACTTTAGTGGCACTGCATTCCCCGTGTTCTCTTCAGCTAAGTATTTTAGGGATAACAACGAGATACTCAACAGCGTTTGAGTTCTGAGAGTCCTATACTCTAAACTCTTCAACAATATAGATAATTTTGAGGATTAGGATTCAGAAAAATTCTTTTAATTAATTAAAAAACTGAAGCACATTTTGTTGCTTATCTTTACGAAAATACAATTCAACTGAACAGATGTCACACTGCGGTCCTTAACCTTAAACCAGAAGAAATATACACAAGTTCATTCCACTTTTACCTTTAGCACGATTTCAACAGCTGATAATTTTTTAAGCAAATAAATATATTTACTTTTGGCTTTCATATAAATAAGTACATACATACATACAATATTACATAAGCACAAAGAGGTAAACAAAAAAGTTAACTTCTTCATATTTCCCTTTGCAGAAAGTCAACACCAACGCATTTTTAAATATACAGCAACAACAACGTCAGCGGAGATGAAAAACTTGAAAAAAAGCTTGGCGGAAAAACAACACTGCAGCGCTTTGAAACAATAGAAAAAAATTAAATAATCGAGTATCGCGGCAAACGTAATCGAACACTTGTTTAAAATTAGTGAAAAAGAAAATAAGGAAAAAAATTTAAAAGAGTAGTACACGCAGTGTTTGAAAACAAAAAAGTTGCGAAAGTAAACAAATAAAGGGAAAATAAAAAACAAAGAAATAAAAAATTTTTTTAAACAAAACTTTTGTCGTTTGTCAGGCTTATAAAAAGTAATAAAGCAAACGAGAGCGAGAAAAGCGCTAAAAAAAGAACAAAAATAAATATAGAAATAAATAAAAATAAATACAAACAGCTGCGAGTAAGCAAAAGTGTGTAAACAAGGCGTGGTGGCACAGAACAGAGGTTTTGATAAATACATAAGAATAGCAACAACAATTCCATAAGCGTTAAAACAGCCTCAACTCCAAACGCCAAACGCGTTTAACCAAAGCGGAAGCGACTCATTTCTGCGCTTGCATATCAACATATAGGTGTGTGTGTGTGTGTGTGTCTGTTCGATTTTCTTTTTTCGCATTTCCATTTCTTCGTTCATTTGACTTCTTTGCCCAATTACAATTTCACTGTCAGTATCTGTTGCCGTCTGCAGTTCAGAGCAAGTTCAATCGAACGTGATTCGTGTGTACGCGTGTAATTTCATTGTCTCTGTCAAGAGTGCGACGAGCGTTTCAAAATCATTAGTGAAATTTCCGAAAAGCGTGAAAAATTAAAAACGAAATAAATGCAAAAATAAAAAATATAAAAAAAAATTATTAAATACGTGACAGAATAACGTGATTTCGATTAATATATTTTTTGTTTGTTTGTTGTATATTAGGCCCAACAAGTAGTTAAACGTTTGTGGAGTCATTATTTTTGCGAATGACGTCGCATTAAAAAAAAAAAACAAGAAAAAAGACTATTAAAAAAATCAGTGAATAACAACGGAAAAAATATTTAATGAACTAAAAAAAAATTAAAAAAAAAATTTTAATTAAATCAAAAAAAAATTTATTAAGCACACTAAAAAGCCCAGGCTATTTAATCAACCCTTTCACTAAAACTATAAACTCAATATCTCTTATTTGTTATGCCATGCACTACGCTTGTAGCGTCACTTCACTCTTAAGCGTAAGATCTCAATTTTACTCCGAGTATTAAATAGAAGATATTCAACATTTAAACAGGTAAGTGGCCACCTTATTCTACAAACATACATACGTGTACGTATTTATAAGAAGAAATATTACCATCCTTTCCATTTCGCACCCATTTGCTCGGTTACTCGCTCCATATATATATTCACATACATAAATATGTATGTATGTATGTACCTGGTCAATTGCACTCCAACATCGGTCCGTTTAGTCAGTTGTGTAAATGTTGTAAGTTCACAAGTTTTTTAATTACATTTCCAAAACGAGACTTTCTTCTACTTAACTCACTGTCGCTGCGTTGATCTCCCATTAACTGTGGCAAACAACTCTCTGCTCAATTCATTCGCTGCATTCACTCTACACCGTTCAACTCGGTCGCCGCCGCGCTAGGCTGTCGTGATGCTGCGCTAGGCTGTCGTGTTGCTGCGCTCTTCCTTTAATTACGTGATTATTCATTGCATAATTGAAAGCAATCAGCATTGCTTGTAATTTCGCGTCTCTCACTTATTTGAGTTTTCCTTTGTATTTTCTATACGAATTTTTCCTCTTTACCTTACTTCATTTTCACTTGCAAGCGTTGCGGTCCATTTGGTGCATAGATATATATATATATATAAATATATATATACAAGTGTATATCGATTGATTGGTCCGCCGCCAACTTCGCTTAAAGTATATATGTATGTAAGTCTATAAGATCCAGGCATTTGCGTCGAGCGTTCCAACATTGCGGTTTTAATGAAGAGGCCAGTTTGAGTTTTGGTAAATACTACTTGTGGAATCCGAATTGGGTCACAGCTGCGGGTATGAACTTATTTTCCATAGAAGAGGACAGTTCTAAAGGGTGTACCATTTCAAAGCTCCCTATAAGTTTAAAGAAACACAAAAACTTCAAATTCAATGGAGAATGTTTATTATCATGTGAAAGAACATTCTTTGGCATTCAGTTTTATGAAGATTATCTCTTTCAAATGTTCTCAGATTTGCCATCCTTTGTGTCCAACTTTCGATGACTCGTTCGAGCATTTCGACTGGGGACTGGCGACTGACACGCGTTATGTTTTGCTGCACGGACTGAAATGAATCGGGATTGTCCGCATAGACTTCAGACTTTACATACCCCCACAGGAAAAAGTCCAACGGTGTGATGATCTTGGTGGTGGAAGTGTTCTATCAACAAATCCTTTGATTGATGCGATGTGTGTGAAGTGGCGCTGTCTTGTTGAACCGAAATGTCACCAAAATGAACCGATAAAGGTCGCTATTGACGATTACGTTCTCACCGGCATCATTTTTGAACAAACATGGGCCGACGATTCCACACCAAACCGTTATTTCTTCTGGATGAAATGGCAGCTCTTAAATCTCTGCTGGTTGTTTTTTGTTCCAAATGCAGCAATTTTGATTGCTTACATACCAATTGAGCCAGAAACGGACCTCATAGCACAAGCTATATTTATTATGCCGAATCGACTCTCCACTGTGTTCGTGAACACTCTCAGCTACGGCAGCTATAAAGTTCAGAGAGTTTCTTCCCAATTCTGACTGCATTTGAGCTGAGGCTTATGCAGTCTCAAACATTTTAGGGTGATCATGGCCAATGATCTTGAAATCTTCTATAAGTTGGCATTTTCATTCTCTCATCTATCTTTTTCAGCTCCTCATACTCACGCATTTCGGTCACTGTCGGTAAAAACGTCTCTCCAGACCTTGCACACATGGCACAATTGGCAAATTGCAGCATCGCTAAAAGCTTGTCTCCCATACGACACAACAATCCTCAATGTAATTATCAAAAATCAATAAGTTTTGTTTGTTAGCTATTCGTAAAGTGCTTGAAATCATTTCAATAACTGTTGTGATTGTAAGATTCAGATTCTAGCCAAGCTTGGAGCGTACACTCATCTAGAATACTCGAATAATGTTGTGCTTGATTGATGTATTACAGACAGTATTTCGGACAAAGTGCAATGTATCGCCATGGGCCCTGAACGTATCAGCTGTTTTCTGACGAATTTACTTTCTATGACCACCTTGACGCTAACATCGTAAAACACAATTCGGGGGTAGACTGCGCTTATATATATAGACCAACTAGGTTTTAGGAATGCCTTTTGTTACAAACGGTCTTTTCTTCGCTTGGCGTTTTTTGAGCGGTATGAACGGTGGTGCCTCGTGCTTGTCCCGACAATTCTATATTTTCGACTGCGGTAATTGTAACCTTCATAATTACCTGGATAGCCATTAAATGGACAGCAGCACCTGCCGAAATGACTCTTAAATCATGGTTCTTGAGACTGCGGTAGAAGTGACATTAACCACATTCCTCAATCTTTGTTCTCATTGAATGGTTAGACTAGGGCTGGAACTGACTTAACGGGCGAGTACTAAAAGCATCTCTAACACCAGTTATATAACATGTTGCGGCATTGTCTTGTGTTATGTTAATTCAATTTTTCTTTAAATTTTTGGTTAACAATAAATTAGATTTTGTCTCTTATTCCAGCGGACAAATTTTGGTTTTTATATTTTGACATCTACCGTCAAAGCAAACAAAATCCAACTGAAGAATATACGAAAAAATTGAAAGAAATTAATTTTTCTATGCTTTCGTAGAGTCAAAGCGAATACATAAAAGGCGAAACTAAGAGTACAAAAACAACAATTAGCGTGTATTTTCTTTCTTTTTATGCTTTGGGTAGTGTTTGTCAAAAACATGGAAAATTAATTGGCTTTTAAAAACGCACAACCACTTTGTTCCACTAAATTCTCTGCTGACAGTATAAAAAAGTAAAGGAGAAGTTAAAAAATCAAAAAAACAATAATAACAGAATACAATTCGAGAAAATAGAAAATGTTAAAGTAAATAAAAATAAAGTAAAATAATCAGAAAAGTTAAGGAAAATGAAAAGAATGAAATCCGAAAATCAAATGTAGAATTCTGGAATAGAAATTAAAATCAAGAGAATCTTGAAACTATATTCAGATCTAAATCTAAATCTTTTTCAAGAATTACTTAAATCTGGCTGCGAGTTGAAGTAAATTTGTTTTTGTAACTTTCCAATTTTCAAATTGACTTATGTATGTATGTATTGCCGCTATTTGTATGCCCTTTTTACACTTATACCCAAGAATATAAATATTTACGCGCCCTAAAAGTTTCTAAATGTATAGGTGCTTTAATATTATTGAATCATTTTATGATAATTTTTCTACTGCCATATGCACCTAGACGATTATCCGCTACCAAAGCATGTAAAAGCATAAGGTTATTTGCAGTAAAATTTTATTATTATTATTTATTTTTGGCCAGCACAAGTATAATATTATGATTATTGTTTCTTGCATCGTGATTGCCCAACACAAAGGCAAATACTACATACCTTAAGCCTAGCTATTAAATTTGCTTATAAATATAATAGTATATATTAGTATTCAGTAGTATCAGCTATTAATAAAAATACTCAGATGCGTATGGATGTATGTATGTACGTTTATATGAACTCAAGAAACAATTTACAATTCTCCCATAAAATTGCTTCATTCGGTCACTTCTATATTTAATTTAATATAAACGAGGGCATGAACAAAAGTTCGGCCAGTTTGGTCATTTTCAATTTGTTTTCGTTAAAACTAAAAATGCTAAATCCTTTGCATAAATTTGTTTTTAGTCTACCTTTAAAATTTTAGAACGACCGGCTGAAAAATTGCTTGCCAAAAGTTTTCAAATATTTGTTGGGAAATAGGAAGAAAGAGGATTTGCGGCGATGCTTTTTTCAGTTTATTGCGATTCATTGGATCGAAGAAATACGTCCAACGCCATATTCCCTGGATGTAATACCAACCAGATATCACAGGTTTTTTTACCAAAATTAAAGAAAAATTTAAAAGCAAAGGTCTTTAGTAGCAGCGAGAAGATAATTAATGCGGTAAGTGCTGAGCTTGATAAGCTTAAAAAGCAAAATTTTGAAAGGCTTAAGGAATGTCTTGAAATCAATGGCGATTATGAAGAGAACTGAAAAAATGGCAAAGATTACGAATAAATTCCAAAAGAAATTTTGTGTTCTTGGCAACTTAACAAACTTTTGTTAATCCCCTCACCTATATTTTTTCTTCATTATATTGAGTGCTCATTCACCTTTTTGTGTGGGCTTTTAAAGATTATTATAGGTGAATGTTTTTATTTGGGAAAATGGAGAAATATAATTAAGGGCACGTTAAATAATTGAAGATGTTAAATCTTTGAAAATTAATGTCCTGAACGTGAGCACAAAGCATGGAAAGTATAGTTCAATAAATGAATTGTACATTGGTTGCGGAGATTTCACAATTTCATAATCCCTTGTACGTATATTACATATTTTAGTATAAAAAATTCCATTTCGTTTTAAAATTTTTATTATAATTTTTTATTACATTTATTTCGATTCCAAATTAAATTCTCAATTTAATTTTTTTAATAGCGTTTTGTTTTTTTATATAATTATTTTATTTTTTTTTTACAATCTAGCATTCTTATTTTTATATATATTATTTTATTTAAATGCATATAATATTATTTTTCAATATTTGACTTTTTTTGTTATTTAATTTTCCAATGTTTATTTTTTTATTTTATTCTCTTTTATTTTTGTTCTCAATTTATTGTATTTTTATTTAAATAATTCTTTTTAAGGCTCGAGTTCAAATCCTGGCTTTGCAGTAATATCCACAAGGATATAGAAAAATAATTAATATAAAATATTGAGCTAAATTTTCTAATTGTCGTCGCCCCTAGAAATCAACCCCTCCGAGTGTATTTCTGACATGAAATAAAGCGTGCGGCTTAGTATAAACTGAAGGCCTCTTCATTTGTTGAAAAAACATCAAGACGAGAAACCACAAATTGGAGGAGGAGCTCGGCCGTAATCGCTTCAATGGTTACAAAGCGCCAATTATATATATATATTACTTTTTTTTTACAAGTTTCTTAGCCTTTATTTCAATTTATTTTCATATTTATTCTTTTAATATATTTCTTTACAATTTTC